CCTGACCCAGCTTGGGCTGGTCCGTGCGCCCTGCGCCGCGTGGGTCCTGAAGCTGCGGCGCCTGGCGTCGGGAAAGGGACCGTGACCACGCTTGGCAGATAAGCCGATACACAGAGGACGAGGTCCTAGTCTAGGGAGCCATCTGGGAAGGTTGGCCATTTTCTCCAGGACTCAGGGATAATTCCCAGTGTTTCTCCTGTGAAACTTTTCAGAAGCCCCCGAGGCTGGTTTTGAAGAAGCCTCAGAAATGCCTAGTCCTCAGGGAACAAGACCTAATGACCGAGTTAAAGCCCCTCGCAAGGTGCACAGATATCCCCAGGACTACCATCTGGCCAGGGCTAAACCAGAACTTCTGGCGCCAACGAAACAGAAACAGGAAAATGAGTTTCTGTAAAGGATGAGGAAGCAAATAGGACCAAGGAAGTTGCTATACCTGAACATAAGAATAGAAACTGAACTTTAAAAAAATTAGAAAAAGCCTTTGGCTCAGTGGTTAGAGGGTGGGCCCACAGACTGAAGGGTCCCAGGTTTAATAAGAGCACGTGCCTCGGTTGCAGGCTCCATCTCCTGCCCTGGAGGGCAGCCAATCCATGTGTCTCACTCTCACATACATGTTTTCCCCCCCTCCACTCTCTCTGAAAAGTAATAGAAAAAAAATATCCTCAGGTGAGTATTTAAAAAAAAGAAGAAAAAGAGTGGAAGGACATATAACCAAAAATCATCACATGGTTACAGTAAAATAATAAAAATCACAACGATTTTCTAATTTCTACTTTTTGTGTGTTATCCAATTTTTCTTTTTTTAATATTTTTTATTTTTAAGTTACAGTTGACATACAATATTATATTAGTTTCAGGTGTACCACCTTGTAACTAGGCCTTTATGTAACTCACAAAGTGGTCACCCCAATAAATCTGGTACCCATCTGATACCATATATAGTTATTACAATATTATTGACTATATTCTTTATGCTGTACTCCAAATCTCCATGACTATTCCGTGATTACTAATTTGTATTTCTAAATCCCGTCACTTTTTTCACCCATCCCTCCACCCCCCATCTGGCAACCTTCAAAATGTTCTCTGTATCTATGAGTGTGTTTCTATCCTGCTTGTTTATTTTGTTTTTTAGGTTCCATATATAAGTTAAATAATCTGGCATTTGTCTTTCTTTGGCTTATTTCACTCATCACAATACCCTCTAGGTCCATCCATGTTGCTGCAGATGGCAAAAGTTCATTATTTTTTATGGTTGCATCATATTCCATTGTATATTTGCACCACTTCTTTATCCACTTGCCTATTATGGACACTGAGGTCGCTTGCATATCTCAGCTAAATAATGCTGCAATGAACATACGAATGTATATGTCTTTTCAATTTAGTGTTTTAGATTCCCTAGGGTAATTCAGAAGCGGAATTGCTGGGTCCTTGGTTGTCTCTTGTTCTATATGTGCCTTTGTTTTAAAGTCTCTTATGTCTGTATAGGTATTGCTAACTCAGCTTTTGTTGTTGTTGTTTTTGTTTCCATGTTCATGAAATATCTTTTTCCATCCCAAGTCTTGTTTTGTTATGTATTCAGCCACAGTATGTCTTTTGATTTGGAGCATTTAATCCATTTGCATTTAAAGTAATTGTTGATAGATTATGAATGATAGCTTTGCTGGCTTGCAAAGTTTCTCTTGAGACATCAGCTGAGAGTCTTATGGGAGCTCAAATTGTAAGTAACTAACTGCTTTTCTCTTGCTACTTTTAAGATTCTCTCTTTGTCTTTAACCTTTGGCATTTAAAAAAAAAATCCTCACCCTAGTATATGTTTCCACTGATTTTTAGTGAGAGAGGAAGGGACAGAAAGAGAGAGAGAGAGAGAGAGAGAGAAACACCTATCCATGTGAGAACATCAATTGATTGCCTCTTATATGTGTCCGGACAGGGGATTGAACCCACAACCTTTTGGTGTACAAGACTATGCTCCAATAAACTGAGCCACCTGGCCATGGCTAATCTTTGGTATTTTAATGATGATGTGCCTTGGTATGGGCCTCTCTGGGTTCATCTTATTTGGGACTTTCTGCACTTTCTGGACTTATATGTCTGTTTCTTTCACCAGGTTAGGGAAATTTTCCATTATAATTTTTTTCAAATAGGTTTTCGATTTCTTGCTCTCTCTTCTCCTTCCAGTACCCCCATGATGTGAATGTTGGTACACTTGAAGTTTTCCCAGAGGCTCCTTAAACTATTTTCATTTTAAAAATTTTTTCCTTTTTGCTGTTCTGATTGGGTGTCTTCTGCTTCTTTATCTTCTAAATCACTGATTTGGTCCTCTGCGTCATCTACTCTACTGTTGATTCCTTGTAGTGTATTCTTCATTTCACTTAGTGTATTCCTCACTTTGGACTGATTCTTTTTTATTTTTTTTAAACTACATTATTTAAAACACACACACAACTTTATTGATTTCAGAGAGAGGGAGGGAGAGGGAGATAGGAACATCAATGATGAGAGAGTCATTGATTGGCTGCCCCCTACATGCCCCGGACTGGGGAGCAAGCCTGCAACCCGGGCATGTGTCTTGACCGGGAATCAAACCACGATCTCCTGGATGTTCAACAGCTTGAGCCACACCCAGCTGGGCTGTATTCCTAGCTCTTTGTTGAAGTTGTCATTTAGAGTTCTCTACTCTTCCCCTAAATTCATTGAGCAACCTATAACCAGTGTTTTAGACTCTGCATCTGGTAGATTGCATGCCTCCTTTTTGTTTAGTTCTTTCTTCTGGAGTTTTGTCCAGTTCTTTCATTTGGGAAATGTTTCTTTGTCTTCTCATTTTGGCTGTCTCCCTGTGTTTGGTCCTATGTATTAGGTAGAGCTGCTACATCTCCCAGACTTGGTAGTACATAGTAGGTGTCCTGTAGGGTGCAGTGGTGAAGCATTCCCAGTCACCCAACCTAGGTGCTCAAACTATGACCCCTTTGTGGGCTGTGTGCACCCTCCTGTTGTAGTTGAGACTTGATTGCTGTTGGCACATCAATGGGAGGGATTTACCCTCAGGCTGATTGGCTGCAAGAACTGGCCAGGACCACCATGGAAGATTTTCTGTGCAGGACTGACCCCCATGGAGCATAACTCCCTTTGGAGAGGCTCAGGTACCCACCAAGTCCACCCTTTGAGTGTGTCACCCATGGAGGTGGTTGGGTGGTGCTTCAGCATGATCTAGAGCTGTCTACCAGATATGCTGGCACTGGGACCTTATGGGAGGTGCAGACCAAAGTCGGCTGCCATTTGTGGCCTGCCTGGGGCGACTCAGCATGAGCTACAAAGCAATCTGACGATACCTGCTACTTGTGCTGGGCTTGGAGGTGTCCGGAAGAGGCCAAGCTTCAAACTGGGGCCACTGCTGCTAGTGCTAAGCTTGGGTCCACTTAGCAAGAAGTACAGAGTATGCAGAGGCCAGATGCTGCTTGATTGAGAAGTTTTAGAAAAGTTGGCAGCTTAAGCCAAGACAGGCCATTTGTATGGAAATGCCATTGGAAAGTGGTTGGGTAGGCCTGAAAGCTGGGTGAAATGAGATCTCAGGGAATCACCAGGGTGAGGTAAAGTGTGTCAGCCAGGTTGATGGAGACTCAGGTACGGTGTCCGCCTCCTGCCTCTGTGGGGGGTGGGCTTAGGAAGGGAACAATAGCCTCTGCCAGCACTTTTGTCTGGGAGAAAGCTGCCCCTCCAGCTCTCACCCTGATGCCAAACAACTCAATTTCTCCATGTATGTCCCTGGCATCTTTCAAGCTGCTGCCCCAGTACCGGAGGTCAGAGCAAGTGATGTCACGTGAGTTTGTGTGTGGGCCCGTTAGAGGAACACGTGGAACTCCAGCAGCCCTTCGTTTCGCTCAGCCACAATCCCCACTGGTTTTCACAGCCAGAAGTTATGGGGACTTCTCTTCCCAGCACTGGAACCCTGGTCTGGGGGTGTCAGGTGTGGAGCTGGGACCACTCACTCCTCAGGCGGGACAGCTGTTGCCGAGATATCCTTCCCAATTGAAAAAAAAAAAAAAATCTTTATTGACTTCAGAGAGAGAAAGGGAGGGGAAGAAAGAGGGATAGAAACATCAATATGAGAGTCATTGATCAGCTGCCTTCTGCATGCCCCCTACTGAGGAGTGAGCCTGCAACACAGGCGTGTACCCTGACCGGGAATCGAACCGAGATCTCCTGGATCATAGGTCATGCTCAACCACTGAGTCACACAGGCCGGGCTCCCTCCCAAATTTTAACTGTCATACATGGCTGTGGGACCAGCCTGTTCCATGTCTCTGCCCTTCCCACCAGTCTCAATGTGGCTTCTTCTTTATATTCTTAGTTATAGGACTTCTGTTCAGCTAGATTTCAGATGGTTCTCAATAATGGTTGTTTTGTAGTTTAGTTGTAATTTTGATATGGTTGTGGGAGGATCCAGGTACCGTGTTTACCTAAGTCACCTCCAATTTTTCTTAAATGACTGACTGGGGCACTAATTTTACAGTGAATAACAACTATTATAATAAAAACCACATAATGGAATCATTTGTTAAATTTAGGCAGTGTTATCTATATTTCAAGTTGATTTCTTTATCAGTTACATATCCAAGTGGTTAAAGTATAAATAGCAAATAATATTTTAAAATAAATGTCTCTGTGTCTTGGCCCATGTTGCTCAGTGGTTAGACCCATGGACCAAAGGGTCTCAGGTTCGATTCCTAGTCAAGGGCATGTACCTAGGTTGCAGGTATGATCTCTGGCCCAGTTGGGGCACATGCAGGAGTCAACCAATTGGATGTATCTCTCCCACATCAATATTTCTTTCTTCCTATCTCTTTCTCACTAAAATCAATCAGCCAATATATAAATAAAAAGAAAACAAAACAGCACAGTTGTGGGACAGCTCAATTGTGATACAACACAGCTGTGAAAAAGGCACCACTGTGAGACACCCCTTGGTCCAGGACTCTCTTTGGCCAGACAGCTCTGCTGCACACTAGTCTGCTTTGGCCTGTGCTGGTTGGCTTAACTCTTCTCCATCAAGATATCTTTGGTGGTTCAGCTCAGTCAAGGAGACACAGCCTTGTCTCAGGTGCAAAGGGAAAGTGTGCTCTCAGAGCCAGAGGGAAGCTGGCTTATAGGACAGAAGTCCTCACTTCTGGTCCCTGATTGGTCTGTCCTGCAAGTGAAGACTCCAAATTCTCAGTTTGATTGGGCCGAAAGGCACTGTCCTGATTGGTCAGAACAGAGCTGCTCTGGTTGGTCAGAGTTGTGCAGTTCTGACCGGGGAAAGTCTGAGTCCTATTGGTTGAACTTTTTTACAGGGGCTGATGCAGATGGCAGAAACACATTGCAGGCTTCTCCTTGAAGTGCAGTTTGTGTGAGAGGCCCCTGTGTGAAAAAGCCTGCTAGGCTCTTTTGTTTTTGTTTGGTTTGTTTGTTTAAATTTGAGCCCAGTTAGCCACCAGGAGCCCTTTTCCTTCTTTTAAAAATTTTTTTGAGATATTTTACTTTTTAAAAAATCCTCACCTGAGGATATGTTTTTATTGATTTTTAGAAAGAGAGAGGAAGGGGGAAAAGAGAGAGAGAGACATCAGTGTGAGAGAAACATTGATCGGTTGCCTGCTGTATGTGCCCTGATGGGGGACTGAACCTGCAACCTTTTTGTTGTACAAGACAATGCTCCAACCAACTGAGCCCTTCTTAGTAGGTGTCTTCTTTCTCAGGGTTCACAGTGTGAAGGGGACAACACTAATTAGGATACCTGAGATCAGAAAATAAATGACCAGTCAGTGGTCTCAGCTCAACACTCCATCCTGCAAAGGAAGAGTGAGAAGAATTGGAGGGGCAGGAGAGCTTTATGGTTGCCCAGGACAGACACTCCTCACTTGGGCAGCATAGGCCCATATAAGCTATAAGTCACTTCTGGCACCCATACTCTAGTTCCTTAAGCACACAGAGAACCATAAGTGTGCTGCTAGTACTGTCCCTAGGCTGCCACTGCATGTTGTGTCAGGAGGAGTTTAACTTCTAACCAATGCATGTAAGGTAATCCTTCCAACCTTGACACCACTCGGCTCTCCTTCGGCTCTCACCACTTCTGATTGCTCAGCTTTGAATGATGGATGACATACTTCTTTGTGTTCTGAAATAGGACTCTGAATATCATTTCATTTTTCCATGCCTCAGTGTCATAATTACAAATATGGACCCATGCTGTGAAAGAAAACTGTGGCTCTGGGCAGCACCACTGTTCCTGTCTCCCTAAGTGCACGTCTGCTCATCAGTCCATGCGGCCCCAAATATGGCAGATACAAGGTTACAATAATGCTGCCTTGCACATTGTCCTGCAAACCTTTTTGTGGACACGTTTGCACTTCTCTTGAGTATAATACCTAAGAGTAGAACTGATGGGTCATAGGGTTGGGAAATGTCTAACTTTATTAGAAACTGCCAGTTTCCCCAAGTGGTTGTATCATTCCAGACTTCCACCAGCAGAATAGCTTCATCCCAGCTGCTTCACATTCCCTGTTGGTTCACCCTGTGCACTATGACCTCCCTTTGCTGTTGCAATAGCAAACAGGTCCCCTCATTTCTACCTTGGCTCCCTATATTTTTTCTTTTACAAAAGGTCAGATGCTGTAACTCTAAAATTCTCTGTGGTTTCCCAAGGTTTTTCACTAACCTACAAAGTCCTACATATGTGCAGCCTACCTCAGCTCAGTTCCTACCACTGTCCCCTTATTATTCTGCTTCAGCCCAACAGCCTGGATGTTTTTCTGGGCCTGCTTTTTTTCCTCCACAGCACACAGCACAAACTGAAACATTCTATAATTATTTCTTTGTGCTGAACTATTGCCCCTCCCTGGAAAGTAATCTCTACAAGGAGGACAGTAACTTGTTTTATTCATGCTCTTGCCTTGGTGTCTAATACAGTGCCTGGTACTCATGGGTGCTCAACAAATGGAATGAATGTGAGGACAAGAAAAACATCAAGTGGTGTCGGGTTGCTGTGCAGAAGACTAAAGGGCACAGTGAGGGTGAGTGATTTGGTGGCTACTCAGACTGGGTCACCTGAGAAGGTGATCTCTAAACTGATGGCTAAAGTCAAAAGGGACCACACATGACAATAGAGGAAGAGCATTCTGGACACAGGGGACATCTACTGCAAGTGTCCCAAGGCAGGAAGAAGGTAAATGTAGCTGGTGCAGCATCGGTGAGGGCCGGAGGGCACAAAGTGTTGGCAGGGAGGCTTGGAGAGCCTGGGTGAGGCCTTTGGGATTTTATCTTAAACAGTGTGGAGCCACTGACCCTGTTATACTGGGTGGGGCTTATGCCACTCGGCCCCTAATTCTTTGCACTCCTAACTAGCTTCTTGCAAGTCTTTCACAGAGACTTCTCACAGTCAGGGTAGCTTCTCCAAAATCCAATCCCCAAGTTCTAATTTGCTGCTTTTACTATGCTTTGGGCTTTACAGTCTGTCAGCACTGTTTGTAAATTTAGAGAGAAGGATGCTTCTTGCAAGACTATAGGGTCAGAAAACAGATCAGTGGCTGCCACAGATTGGTAGGAGGTGTGACTATAGAGGAACAGAGGGGAATTCTGGGGGTGATGTAATTTGTCTATATCCTGATGGTGCTGGTGGTTATGTTGTAGGCAGTTAGACAGACGTGAGTAGAGCAAGGACAATGGGCCAGGTACAGAATATCACCAGGGTGGAAAGCCCCAGGTGCCTAGCAACAGACAATTGTAGGGTGGGACCTTGCTGAAGGGTGACCTTTCTTCCCCTAGCGTATCACACTGCTCATGTGGTTTGGACCCCCTGACCTTTCCTCCCTAGAAATGACACCGAGGCCTCAGCTGTATTTCAGCTCCAGGTCCAGAAAAGCATCAAAACCGGACCAGCGACTCCATGGCTGATCTCAGGACCAGCTGCCCTGGCAAATGACCTGCCCTGGAGCTGACCAGTCAGTCAGTGGAGACCCAACCCTGAAAGGACAACCTGGAAATCTGCTGAAGTCTATTGAGATCTTCTCCTGGGACATCCCCTAAAATCTCCTCCCTTAAAGCCCTTAGGACGAGGACCCAGAGCACTCTCCCTACTG